ATACTTCTAAACTGTTGTAGTCAGGGCACCTCTGCAAAAACAGTGATTATGTGTGAGGTAAAAGTGTTGAATGATGATGAAAGTATTTCCTTTTTGGGGATTTTCTTTCTTTTTGGGTCACCCTGCCTCGGTGGGAGATGGCCCGACTTGTTGGGAAAAGAAAAAAAAAGTATTATCAGTGTGTGTGTATGTAAAACAATAGTTAAGTTTTAAAAAATGTATTTTCTGTGAAGATTTTTGTTGCAGAGGTTGGTGGATGAATTTGGTAGGGTATGTAAAAAGAAAATTAAAAGTGAATACAGGAAAGAGTAAGGTTATGAGGATAACAAAAAGATTAGGTTGATGAAAGATTGGATATCAAGATTGGAGGGAGAGAGTATGGAGGAGGTGAATGTATTCAGATATTTGGGAGTGGACGTGTCAGCGGATGGGTCTATGAAAGATGAGGTGAATCATAGAATTGATGAGGGAAAAAGAGTGAGTGGTGCACTTAGGAGTCTGTGGAGACAAAGAACTTTGCCCTTGGAGGCAAAGAGGGGAATGTATGAGAGTACGTATAGTTTTACCAACACTCTTATATGGGTGTGAAGCATGGGTGATGAATGTTGCAGCGAGGAGAAGGCTGGAGGCAGTGGAGATGTCATATCTGAGGGCAATGTGTGGTGTGATATAATGCAGAGAATTCGTAGTTTGGAAGTTAGGAGGAGGTGCGGGATTACCAAACTGTTGTCCAGAGGGCTGAGGAAGGGTTGTTGAGGTGGTTCGGACATGTAGAGAGAATGGAGCGAAACAGAGTGACTTCAGGAGTGTATCAGTCTGTAGTGGAAGGAAGGCGGGGTTAGGGTCGGCCTAGGAAAGGTTGGGGAGAGGGGTAAAGGAGGTTTTGTGTGCGAGGGGATTGGACTTCCAGGGGGCATGCGTGAGCGTGTTTGACAGGGGTGAATGGAGACAAATGGTTTTTAATACTTGACATGCTGTTGGAGTGTGAGCAAAGTAACATTTATAAAGGGGTTCAGGGAAATCGGCAGGCCGGACTTGAGTCCTGGAGATGGGAAGTACAGTGCCTGCACTCTGAAGGAGGGGTGTTAATGTTGCAGTTTAAAAATTGTAGTGTAAAGCACCCTTCTGGCAAGACAGTGATGGAGTGAAAGATGGTCAAAGTTTTTCTTTTTCGGGCCACCCTGCCTTGGTGGGAATCGGCCAGTGTGTTGTTAATAAAAAAATTTTGTGGGTCTGAAACGGATTAATTGGATTTACATTATTTCTTGAGGGAAATATTGCTTCAACTTTATGACGTTTCGCCTTTAGTCCAAGCCCCTGGAACGGATCGAGGACGAAACTCGGGGTTCCACTGATATACTCTTAATAAATTTTTATTCATCTCAAATATTAATCACAATGCTC